TCATCAGAGTCAAGTGAATAGTTGTTGTCAGTAAAATGTTCTTAGGCCAGTTCGTGTAAAATGATTGGTCAGTTTTACCGTGATGCTCTTGGCTGTAAGACTCAAGTGGCATAAGTCGGTCGTGATTGGTCTGTTTCGATCCGTCGGTAAAGTTAGGTCGTTCTGTTCGGTTCGTTTGTATTGTTAATGTCCTGTAGGAGTCATTTGTATGGAACCTGTAGTAGTTGACACCTGTTGAGAGAAGTCTGTTTTAAGATAGTCAACCAGCCTTCCAGAGTCAATCGTTGAGAGTAGTTAGTGCTGTAGGTTAGGCATTGCGCAGAGTCCCAGTCAATATTGTGGTTCGCAAGTCGATGATATTCAGCAATGTGACTGTTGACATCACATTTCCTCGTCGCCCGTTTGTGTTCATTCAGTCTTTTTGCGAGGTTTCTGCCAGTCTCTCCAATGCAGGAGGCTCGGCAGTCGAAGCAATTGATCTTATAAATCGCTCCCTGTCTGTTCCTCGGTTTAACATTATTATCATTATCGATATGATTATTTGTTACCATTTACTTATTGGTTGAATAGCAATTAGTCACTATATTCTTGAATCATCCTTCTCCTGTAGAACATGGTACTCATAACTATGTGAGATGCGGCAGGTTTTCTGTCTTGCATTTTGAACAAATCCTCTGCAAAACACTTTAAAACATTCTTTAACAAGTAAAAGGAGAATGATGAGATTATAATGTGATATTTACATATTTGTATATGAAGTTTTGATTTACATTTCCAAAAGGTGTTAATTACAAAATATGAAAAAATACCGATTGAAAGGAGTAAGTAACATTTTGGTCTCGTTGAACCTATGAATCTAGTAACTTCTGATGTTGTCAGTTCCAATAAGCATCGTTATGTTTTTCGATCTACTGCATATTGCATATTTCTGAGTCTTACACAATTTAAAATTTTTTTTGAGACAAATTTTTCTTACTTAGATATTCTAAAGAGAGCAATGACGCCCCAAACTACCCCCAGACGATCGACTGGTCAGAGCTTGTTACAGCTGCAGAGGAAGCACAAAAGCAGCCCAGTGAGTGAACAATTTTAGCACTGCTGATTTAGATTATGTTTTTGGACATGTCTATAGCTTGCAAGTTGTGAAGTGATGTTTATGTGAAAGTAACCGCTGACCATTAAGATCGTAGTGGAGGGTGACGTATGGGCAGTAACATATTATTCCTGTTAATTTTGTGCTTTTACCAAACAGTTCTTAGCAGTGAAGAAAAGGGTAATCATCTTGAAAGGAATGCCTTAGAGGACACTGGCTATTTGGGAGACATCGAAACCTCGTCTAACGAATCTTGCGAGAGCGTAAGCCCCGAGTCTGAAGACAGCATTCCTCTGGAAACTTCTAAAGGTACCCTGTGATCATGTTTCTTTGACATAAAAGCTAGTAGACAGTAAATTTTTTTACCATTATACTTGTGGTTACTACGTGAAACATTAGTTTAGGAAGAGTTTACACGTCTATGCTGTTGAAAAAGAAGAGAGCAAGGAATAACCCGTCCTACAGCTTGAGAAAACGCATAAGTATAGTCATTCGCTATTATCGTTAAAATTTATTTTGTTTTAGCGCAGATTTTCTCCCCCTTTCCATTTCAAAGGGATCCTCCACTGTTTTCGAAAATATCGCTTAAAATGCTCTTTAAGTGTCGAAAAGTAGTTTTTTTGGACAGAAAAATGTTCTTTCCCCTTAGATTTTTTGTTTTGGCCTCTCAAAAGAGGCCTTCGTGACGAGTTCGAACGTCCCGCGGTCGCCATTTTGATCGGTGCGCAAGGCTCTCTGTGGTGATGACGTAAAATGGTTGCTCGATTCCTTTGCCCTCGGTAAAATTGGTAGCAAAATGCCGCACTGCGTTGCTTTTGAGTGTAGTATTCAAGTTAAAACAGGAAAAGCGATCCCAAAGTTCGTTTCCCCAATTTTCCGAATGATGCAGCACTTCGACGAGCTTGGATTCATGCTGTTGGAAGGAAATCCTTGCCCAAAGACTCACGTCTTTGTTGGAAGCACTTCGAACAGCAGTGCTTTGAAGAGTCTTACATCTTTCCTGTTTTTAGCTTGAATACTACACTCAATAGTAAAAAAATCAAGGTATTGAATAGCCAGGAATATTTACTTCAGAATCCTTTATAGATGGGTTCAGCCATGTCTTAGAAAAAGGAAAAATATCGAATTTTTTTACTAAATAGTAATCGGACATGATTCATATTGTTCAAAATGCTTCGCACGTTAAGATGAGCTATTTTAAAGCCACGAAATTGCGGTAGATCTTCGGCGCCGTGGAAATTTCAAGTCAACATTTGGTCCTGGGTTTACGGAGATATCGCTGCACTGCAGCAGCAAACCGGCGAGTAAAAAGCTTGATGATACGAACCGAGAACTCATATGCGAGATAGCTTGTCTGTCGCTCTCTCTGGAGCTCTTCTTTTCATCGAGAACATGGAAGGGTTAAAGGAATTAAGTTATTTTCCAACAGCTAATGCTGAATAACAGCCTGTACCATTATTAAGGTGTAGAATATGAGAAAGCTTTAGCAAATCGCCATGAACCAGGTGGAAAACCAAGATAACTGCAGAGCGCATAAACATGTGTCTCAACGCCGCCATGTTTGCTCTCTCTGTATTTTGCTATCATTATTATAGTGATGCAAAAACTGGGAAGTGATTGGCCTCCAAAATGTTTTAGAAAGTCTAAAATTTAGTCGGATGCTGATGCAGTTAAGCCTTGTTGAGTCCTTTTTTGCTAATTCTGCTTGAATATCTTAATTAGGCAATAGCAGCCAGTTTTTTTACCAGAAATTTGTTGAACTCTTGTTTTCTGGTTTTGGTAAAGGACCACTAAAAATATTTTTTTAAGCCATGCTTGTGTTACTCAGATGTCTCAAAATTCTGTTTTTTCGATGATGACAAAATCTCTGTTTAAAAAAGGAGAAAAAACTGCTCATAAAATACCACAAGAAAGAGTTAATCTAGACCTCATAATCAAATTGCTTACTTGAGGCCTACTGTTTGGGTTATAACCAAATCTAGCCATTAGAATGTTTACTTTTTGTTTAATTTCGGTAACAGACCTTATGCAAAGAAAATATGTGAAAACATCTCTTGGTTTAAGTCCCTTTGATGATTGCATGTTCAACTTCATCATCAGAAAGTGGTCATTACTCAGACGGGACTCCAACCACAACTGATCCAGATAACAAGGGCTTTGGGAGGGATGAAGAAATAGCAAATGGAGTTGTGAGAGGGAGTTCTGCAGCAGTTACCAAAACACCTGAAAGGGCTGAAACAGTTGAAAGACAAGGAGAGGACAGTGCCTCTGAGGTAAAGCTCCTTAACCTCAACCTTAAACTTTACTTAACTCTCATACTTTGACAGTTGTAATTATAGTTATGGTATATTAATCTGGGACCTGAGTCAAAAAGAACTCTACATTATCAATCAAGTTTAAGTGTATCTTGGAGAGTTGGCATGTATGTATCACTCACATTTCATCGTTGATGTTGACAAGTTAAACATTGAGTCACATACACGGAAGGTCTTCCTTGGTCATCGTGAGGTCTTTAAGAGAAACTGAAGAGAGAAAGACAAATCAGGTCATCGAACTTAAAAGGGAAAAAAAGAAATGACCTACTTTGATGTTTAGTAGGAGGCCCCCCTCCCACTTACACATGTAACTACTGTCATTTTTTAAAAACAAAGGGAAATTGTATTTTACAATATTTTTTAACTTTAGCAAAAAGTGGACAACAAAGGCGAGGGACAGGAGGAGGAGGGAAGCACTTCTCAGCATCAATCCTCAATGTAAGTCTGTTCTGAAAGGAATCTTCTTGAGATAAGTAGTTGAAAAAATGAAAATAGAGACCTACATATTAAGTTTAACTTCGTTCATGGTGTTATGTAAGTTTGTAAACCTTCTCGCAAGCCCTTCACGGTTTTTTCGTAAATGGCGGATTATCGTGAGACACATTTTATTATATATCGTTTTCTGGTTATTGATATCAGTGATGCTTGATTAAAAGATATGCCGGTTTTGTCAGGTGTGAACGTAGGCGCTAAAGTCGTGGTACCTTTTTCAGCTTATTTTTCTCCTTCATTGACTTCTTCATAATGTGGCACTTCTATCACCACGAAGGGTTGACCACTTACCTATGTATTTCTCTGATACTATCTCAGTACATGCTTGATTCATAGCTTTTGTCCAAGCTTTTTTTATACTCTAGTGGTGTAGCTCGTGATCAGCCCACCTACTGTTATTTTTCTGTAGTTGTATTTTGATGTTACCCAGATTCATTTGGGTGTATTTCTCTTTCTCTTTCTTGCAAATCACAGGGCTTTTATAGCCGCTGGTACTGTTATGGCTTCCAATTCCCCTTATTCTTTTTACCTCTATTTCTGGACATTGTTTCCTCTAACTTTCACTGGTGTGTTCTTGTCCTTTGGGACTTATATCTTGATGATAAAGGCAGCCTTTTTTTCGTTTTTGTTCGTTTTTGTCCTTGATCATGATATCTGGTCTGTTGGCCGTTATCTCATGATCTGTTTGTGCTGGCATATGTTCCGAAAGAATATATCATTTTTCTCTGAAACTATGCTAGGTTCTTGCTCACATAATTCACTGTTGTTTTGAGCTCTTTACAAATGTTTAAGTGCAGGTGCGTGGCTTCCCTGTTTTGTTTCTATAGTTATACAGTTTTTGGCTGCTCGCCCTACACTACTTCAATATCGTCTATAGTTTCCTGGAATTAACAGTGATCCTGCAAACTGGGTCTGTACCATCCTCTAAGATTTCGCGTCCATAGTACTGTAGAATGTCTATCATTATTATGAACTAGCTGATTTATAGTTGACGAGCTATATGCAATAGAAACACTTTGATAAACCGATGATAATATTTTCATTATTACTATTGTTTTTATAGCTATTATTATTATTATTATTATTATTATTATTATTATCACTAGATAACTCCAATATCATAAGAAAAACAGGTTTTTTTTCTTTGGAACATGTCTAATATGTCAATATTGCTATTATTTTTTTTTACAATATTTCATTACCATAGACCCCCCAAACAACTGCAAGGCACATCCGAAGCTGGAGTTACTGTAGCGTTCCATGTTCTGGTTTCTTCAGTGTTTGAATTCTCGGACAGAAAACTTTCCATAAGAACAGGAGGAGTTGAGTTTGGAGATTTTGAATGTAGCTGTGTTGATTTGTGTGCAGTAGAGTAAGTACATATCTTTGTAGTCACCTTTCAAATAACTTTGTATGAGAGCTTACGAATCGACGACCTACTATAAAACGACGACAAAGTGTTTTCATTCAAAACAGTTTTTACGCATGCACTCCCGAATTTTTGTTCTTTGCACGCGTTATCTTCAATTGGGCAAGACTTCAAAATATCTGTTTTGAAGTCGTGTTCGACAGCATGACGACGAGAGTTCTCTTTTAGCCTTTTTTCTTGCTATGTCAGTCTTACTGTTAATCCAAAAAATTTTCAAAATATACCGACAGGAGTTTAAGACAGTTTTTGCCCCTATTTAACGTACTCAATCGTTGCCATAGTCTATGTTGTATTGCAAGGAAAAGATCTCAGATGAAACCAACAACTCAAGCGTCCAAAGCACCACCACCTTGTAAGAGAATGTTAGAGAAGGTAGTGTCTTACTTGGGAGAGAAGTAGTTTTGTTCGAACTTTGGAAGCCAGGAGTGAGGAAACTGCTTCGATCCAATTATTAAAAGCTTGAATGACCTTGAATCATTTGCAAAAGCCATGCCTTAATGTGTCATTGCATTCGATCCGAGATAGACATAAAATATTAAAAAGAGATTTTGAGAAGAAGGATTGATTCTAGCAAAACGCTACTGGAAGTTCGCCACTGAAGACCAAAATTGATGATTACTAAAGAGAGGAAACAAGAGCAAGAAAAAAAATTAGAAAAGCTCTCTGGTGAAGGGCGCAAGATGAGGCCACAGCTAAAGACACGGAGAGGAAGGTCACAGAACGCCTAGCAAAAACAAAGGAAAAATTGGGAATGATCAACTCTGAAAAGAGAGAACAAACTCTAAATGAAACAATAAAGTATTTGAGAGAGGCAACGGCGCTACAATATGAGTTGAAACAAGAAGAATTAGATTTAAGAAAGAAACAAGGGGAAAGGGATTCAGCATATTAAAACGTGAGGATTCAACAACCGCAAGAAATTCCAGGAAATTTCAGGACGAGTTGAGAAGTCAGCAACAGTAGTTCCAGATGACGTATCAAATATTCAAGAGAAAAAGAAAAAGCAACAACCCCAGGCTTTACTTGAACTTTTGAAAAAGGGACATTAAAAACGCACAGAGCTACATATTCTGAAAGCGATTTATTCGTTTTTCTTGTATTAGGAAAGTGGCAATGATTGAATAACACACTTATGAAAAGCTGCAGTGTAACAGGTAGATTTAATGTTGTTGTTGTGCGTCTGTTCAGTAATAGATCACAGATGACGTGAAAGAGTTGTAAGAACAAAAAAGCCAAGTGTGTCACTGATGTGCTTACCACATTTTGACATGTGATCTATTACTATTTTTACAGTAACAGTAGTATTTCTCGCACGTTCATCGGACAAGGACTATTGTCAATAAGGTTGTAGAAGACACAAATGACGTAGCATGTAACGCAACGCTCGGAAATCTCGTCAACTGCAAATTTCTGAGATATGGTCGGTGAAAAACTTCCGAATTTTAAGAACGATATACTAGGGGATGTACTATGGACAGCTGAAGAAGGCTAGAAGGAGAGATGGATGAAGCACTTTGAAGAGTTACCGCATAGATCAGCATCATCGGACCCGCCAGATATCCCACCAGTCAACGATGACCTACTAATCGACTGTGGTCCACCCATCAAGGCGGAAATGTATCAGGCCAGCAAACAGGTGAAGAATGGCAAGTCAGCAGGACCCGACAGTATTCCATTGAAAACGGATAAAGTAACCAGTTTGGAGCTGCTGCACCCCCTCTTCAAGAACATGTGGTAAGAAGAACAAGTCCCATGAGGCTGAAACGAGGGCTACCTCATCGAGCTGCCGAAGAAGGGTGACCTCAGCTCCTGTTCTAACTATAGAGGAATAACGCTACTTTCCATCCCAGGCAAGGTGTTCAGCAGAGTGGTACTGAATAGGATGAAAGTTGCAGTTGACCCCCAGCTACGGGACCAGTAGGCCGTCTTTCGCAGGGGCAGCTCCTGCACAGACCAGATTACAACACTTCGCATCATTCTAGAACAGGTATGCGAATGGGTTCCTCTCTCTACATCAACTTTGTCGATTACGTAAAGGCTTTGACATTCTGGACCGACAGAGCCTTTGGAAACTGCTGAGACATTAAGGGTTACTGGAGAAGATTGCCAGCATCATTAGAAACTCCTACAATGGAATGACGTCCAGGTGGTCTGTGGTCGCCAACTGATAGACGCCTTTCAAGTAAACACAGAAATGAGACAAGGATGCCTGCGGTCGCCCTTCCTATTCCTACGGACCATCGGCTGGGTGTTGAAGACATCCACAGCCAAGAGAAGAAAAAGAATACAGTGGACTCTTTGAACCCATCTTGACGACTTGGACTTAGCAGATGCCCTAGCTCTCCCATCCCATACCCAGCAAAAGATGCAAGCTAAGACCAACATTGTTGCGGACAATTCAGCCCGTCTTTGTCTGAGGGTCCACAGGGGTAAGAGCAAGGTCCTCAAAAACAACACAGCAGTCAGAAGAACTCCCATAATATTGGAGGGTGATGGATTAGAAGACGTGACAAGTTTCACCTACTTAGGTTGCATTGTTGACAAACAAGGTTGGACGGATGCCGATGAAAAAGTGAGAATTGTTAAAGTAAGAGCAGCCTTCCTTCAAATGAAGAACATTTGGGCCTCACCCAACCTGACCATCAACATCAAAATCAGGATCTTTAACACCACAGTAAAACCTGCCCTGCTGTATGAAGCTGAAAAGTGGAGAACCACAACTGCGACGCTGAAGAAGATCCAGAAATTCATCAATACCTGCCTCAGAAGAATCCTTCGGATCCGATGGTCTGAGCCAATCAGCAACATTGAACTCTGGAAACGAACCAAGCAACAATCAGCAGAAGTTGAAATCCTTCAAAGACGCTGGAGGTGGATTAGACACACCCTCCGAAAGCGAACGACCTGTATCACACGTGAAACCCTGACCTGGAACCCATAGAGAAAGAGGAAGCGAGGACGCCCAAGAAACACCTGGCGCCGTGATCTGGAGACTGAAACAAAGAGGATGAGTAATACCTGGAGGACGACTTGAGAGACTAGCCCAGGACCAGGATTCCTGGAGAGCTCCTGCAGGTGGCCTATGCTTCAGTAGGGGTCAATGGCAATGATGATGATGATGATAATGATACTTAAAGTTTTGAAGTGGATCTTATTGAGATGGTAGAAAAAGTAGAGGAAAATCTTCAGAAAAAGAAATCCGGTTCTTGGTTCGCAAAGTTGAAAGACGGTCAACCTCGTAGAAGTACTTGCCGATGCCAAAGCAGGCGGCACAAAAATTAAAAGAAGCCGGGCGATAAAAAACGATTCAGGACAACAGAGTTTACCACAACAATTTTTATTGGTATTTCATTGTGGAAGTCATTACATAATACAAATTAGAACAAACAACAAAGCAACGATCGAACATGTCAAGCGCGCGAAAAAACTTTAAAAAATTTTATCAAAACTTTGCAGAGAAACCACTTGGCTGCGCCTCGTGGTTTCACTTTAGTTTTTAACATGAAGGATTCAATTGGCAGAGTTGATTGCATGATGCTTTCTTTTTTCTTATTTTGCTTTTCTATAGCCAGCCTAACAAACGGAAAGAAAAGGATTATCTTCAACATTTTCGAGGCCAGCTCACTTTGACCCCTGACCAAGCTCTCGAGGGTACTAGTTACAGTTATGTTGTGACCACTGGAGAAAACCAGTTCTGGGAGGACTTGACCGAGTTTTTGTCAAGACGTGGAGCCACTAGCAATATTAGGAGGGCATTAAAGATTCCGAATGATCATATTCAACCGGGTGGTAAGTAATGCCCTTGGAGGTCTTTCTTCTCGATCTGTGAGAGGGTAAAGCTTAAGTGGCATCGAATCTTGCATTTGAATACTTTGTTATTCGTATCTGAAAAAGAAAAATCTCGCAAGATACCGTAAGTCGGTCAATATCAAGCAAAACCTACTAAAGCCATCAAACAAGTATCTTTAGAAGAGTGAATCGAATAGTCTAATGCGCGTTTTCATCACAAAATAGTTTTGCTATGTTGTGAGAAGTAATTTAGATATGCAAAGTGCGAACTTTGAACGAAATTCATATTTTGGGATATTTTCCTTGTTAAAAATATTTTAAAATATATTTATATTTATTTTATTTTGTGTTTACAATATTTTGCACTGGACTGGTTTTGATAGGTTGAATTGTATGGATATTTGGTTTATCTGCATCCATAGACAAATTTGCAAGATCAGTTTTAAATTGGTATGAAGCGGGGCGTAGCACAAGGTGATACGCTGAATTTATTTATTTAAAGGGTACGGAAATTCTATGTCCCACGTTTTCCCGAGAACAGTTTTCTTAATGAAAACGTGCGAAAACATAAATTATTTGGGCAATTATTTGGGCAATTATTTGGGCAATTATTTGGGCAATTATTTGGAGTGATAGAGGCAAGATGTCGAGGATGGAAGGGCTAATGAAGAGGTTACAAGGGAAGTCTGCGGGAAGAGCTTCCCCCTTCATTAGGAAAATTGTCTTACCAATCTGTCAACAAAGCGAAATCATGATACTATGATAATGCATTTGAAAAATTGCAAGCAAAACAACCTCTGTGACGGATGATTTTTAATCTCTTTATGTCGCTGAAACTGCGTTTAGCTGCACAGAATCCTTTCCAAATCAACAGTGTTCCTTACAGAAGAAAGAAAGATATGAATCTGAATTAAATTAACCCTATTTGTCCAGTTGGGAGGAAGTTCTGCGATGTAAGCAATTTAATTCCTTGGCATACAATTAACCCTTTCCCATGCTAACCACTTGCTGTGTTCCTAAACGTTTTTTTTTATGATGGAATCGCAAAAATGTGGTGTGGTATTAAAAAAGATGAAATAAAAGTGATAACGTTTTTTATGTTCCTCCCAGGCAATTTGTTTCCTTGGCTTTAGAATCTTGCCGTGTTACTAGACTTTTTGAAAATACTCGGCTTGTCGTTAAGCGAAATTACACCGAATAAATTTGGAAACAAATTCGATGCTAAGTACAGCAGCCCTTGCAGAATTTTTGAGGATCCTTGCCCAGCGTCCGGCAAGTGCAGGCTTGTTGTCTATGCCTCCAGAGTTAAGCGGAGCAAATAAGAGTATTATTGCTTCTCCAGATTTGATTAGCTCAAGTGACATATAAAATATCAGATTGGTGTAAGATGAACAAGATGACAAAGAAATGTAAGATCATGCGAATAACCAGGAAAAAGGCACCCTTAGTTGGCGAGTATAACATTGAGGGTCAACCTTTGGAATGTGTTAATGTTTATAAAGATTTAGGATTGTTTACTGCTAGTGGTCTCTCATGGAACCAGCATATAGATAGAATAACTGTTAAGGCCAATAGGGTTTTAGGGTTGGTAAAAATGACCTGTAGAGACTTAAATGATGTTGACACCATGAGAACACTTTCTTGTAGTCTTGTGAGACCCTTATTCGAATATTCATGTGAAACTTGGAACCCTTATACTAAATGTAACATTGACAAATTGGAGGCTGTTCAGCGAAGAGCTACCAGATGGAACACTAGGTCTGATGATGATTATGGTACTAGACTATCTAAATTGAAATTGTTGCTATTATCTGATAGGTGGTTCATTAGGGATGTTACGTTTTTGTTCAATGTAATTAATGGCCGTTATGATAAAGACATTTCCAATAAGCTCATATTTTGTAAGGACAGAAGCATGGCTTATAATATGAGGAAAAATGACATACAGGACCTTGTCCCAAATTTTAGTAGAACTAACGGTCTTAAATATAGTATTTTAACCGTATCGTTGGTGAATGGAATAGCTTACTTAATCACATTAGAGAATCAGATAGTATTGAAACTTTTAAAAAGAATGTCTTAAGTTTTATTAAAGATAAGGATAATTAAGGTATCTATTTTCATATTTCTATATAGTTTTGCTATACTTTAATTAGAGGGGGTATCCCTTGTATGGTGCGTCAGCGCTTTTGGTTGTCCCCTTCTCCACAATTTTTCCTTTTGTGGTTTTTATTAACCTTAGTTGTAATTTATATTATTTGTTTTGTATTCTAGTGGAGTGAATCTGTAATAAATACTGCTAGGTTGGGAGAACGCATGAAACTTTAAGTTTCATGTGGAAAGTACAGCAATCCTCGATCCGATAGCGAGTGATATGAGGATTTATCCTTTGGCACTCTTGAAGGGAAATAGCCTTTTAACGATTATCTTCTGCATCTTTGCAGTGACATGGAATCAATTTGATGGAGTGGCGTATTTTTACGACGAACAGTCCGATTTAAAACTAATGGACCAGAAAGCTGAATATTACACTATGGCGTTTCATTCTTACCTGCCAAAATGGAAAGGCTTTCTTTTGAACGAGGCAACTGATATGATGAATGCCACAGAAGCATTGACGAGACTGGATATTGTTGTGGAGTGCCTGTCAGGTGTTTGGGTACAAGAAGGTCTTAGCCAACCTAAAAAGAAGTCCACTAGTTTCAATGATCAAAAGGTTGACTTTAAGACTATTATTACTTTACATAGACCTCTTCGTCATAGTCTTACATTAATTCTGCGTAACATTGCGTATTATGCACATTGTTTATAGCCCTACCATGACCCAAATCCTGTGTTAGGTGGGCACCGCAAGTGCTTGTACTTTAGATTTTCTTTTTTTTATAGGAAATAAGCAGGCTAAAAAGCTCCGATCGCTTCATTGAATTACTTGTTCATTCAACTTAACATAGGTAGAATTGCTGTTTCTACTCGAATATGGGAACCTTCCGCTCTTTTTTCAAAATTAGCTAGATGTGTAGCTAGATAAATAACTGATAGGTAGATTTTTGTTTTTCACCCAGGTGCGCAACCGGGTATTTTGTTATCAAGCCCCTAAGTGAGGGTACTCTCAGTAGCTCTGAGCGCCTTTTTAAGTGTTTTGCGCCTCGATTTCATTGGTAGCATCGAACAAGGTAGAACTAGTTGTTACCGAGAGAAAGATTGGCTGTCCTCGTGCTTTTGAATTTGGTAATTTCCGCTCCATCCTCCAGAAAGGAACGACGGCCTTTTCGATATTTTCCTCCTCTTTTTGGAGTGAATCTGAGCTTTCTCAGTCGGTTTTTGGACAATTCTTGCATCGATAATTACTGAAATGAGATAACGTTCAAAAATTGGATGGGGAAACATCAAATACTTTTCCAAAACGGCGTCCTCCTCGGCACTTCTGTTGGCATCTTTCATTGTGAAATGTACTTTTATTTGCAGAATCGGTAAGTTTTTCTCTTTACCCAAACTTCCCATCCTCAACAATACTGAGAGTAGTGTTGAACTTATTTGCAGGTATTATTTAACCTTTTGACGCCGAAACTGGAAGCCAACATCACCATCTTGACTAAAAGTAAATTTGGGTCAATGGATCACTTGTCCGCACTGATTTCATCACTAGCTATCATTGTCGTGTTCAACAAGTACTCCATACACCTGAAGAGAGAGAAAAGGATCTCACTTTTGCGTTGTCTATCCTTTGAAGCAGAGCTGCATGGAGAACTGCATTCTGTTTGTGAAAAGTTGTTGGCCGAATTTAACATTGAACTTAGGAAGTAAGTAGCTAATTATCGTTTTGGTTAAACGTTTTGTTTCGTGGCTCCTCCAGCAAGCTTGCGCCAAGTTTTGTTTTGCCTCTAAGTTATTGTAATGTGAGTGATTAAGAGAATGTCAAATTTTTTAATTGGTCATTTTGTTATTATATTGTCATCGACCATGACATTATCTATAAAAGAGTTCCTAACAAAGATCTTATTAGGGATCGCATTAAGGGTAGAGGTACATAAGAAAAAGGAAACACTTTAACTGTGTAAATCCGTAATGTTTTCAAGTACTTCATCTGGTGAAGTCGCTCGTGTCCGCCACTGCCGTCCTTTGCATTTGAATGCTCGCTATGCTTTTACATCGCGCTAGTGTAGCCCAAGTTTGATTAGAAAGCCACACTATAGAAATTAACGACTAAAATATTCCGTCGAAATACTTCAAGAAAGAATCGCGATCCTCCCATCGCTTGGCCATAGTTAGCTCTACTAACTATGGCTTGGCTGACGAGAGATGATCATATTTCACGTACTGTTGTCTCGCCTTTGCGCCATGTGACTTAGCAAAAAATTCTAAATATTAAGTTTCTCATGTATCTCAATGTCGATCAAGTTTTTTTCTCAAAAGTGGAGTTGAATTGAACCATACTAGCGTTCTTAAATAGTGAGAAAATTTTTATAAGAAGTAAAACCTCGTGTAGATAAACTCAGCATCTATGACGACGTTGTTTCTTCAAATGAGGAGATCATGAAGGGCTGGTTCACTGCGCGCGGTAAAGATATCATGTTTTCGAAACAGAATAAATTCTGCTTCTTCATCAATATGTATAGAAGTAAGAGCCAGTGACCATAAATATTCAGAATCTGCCAACAGTTGCAAAATCTCGTAATTCATTTTATGTTTCCTAACGGACCCTTTTGATGACCCTTTTTCAAAAACTATATTAAAAAGTTACATCACGCTTTTCTTTCTCCGAAAAATCGAAAAGTTCAAAATACTACTGTGGATTAGAAATTTTTTGACGAATAGAAGGCAGCGTGTAGTGTTAAGGGGCAATTGTTCAGACTGGTCACCCGTGATTTCAGGTGTGCCTCAAGGAACAGTACTCGGCCCAATCCTATTCATTATTTATATAAATGATATTTCGGCAAACATTGCATCAACCGTGAAAATCTACGCTGATGATACTAAAATCTATCGCAAGATCATGGAGCCTGATAAGGATATACCAGCCTTACAGCTGGACTTGAACAAATTAAGCGATTGGGCTAACAAGTGGCAGTTGCGCTTTAATCCTGAAAAATGTGAAGTTATGCGTGTAACGCACAGTAGAGACAGATCCAAGCCTAGTTATTCCCTTGGTACGCAACTAAAATCTGTCGACAGCGCCAAGGACCTAGGGGTCACAATAAACTACGATCTATCTTGGGGTAAACACGTTTCCTACATAGTAAACAAGGCGAACAAAGTGTTGGGTATAATTAGGCGATCACTTGGAAACGATAATCGCTATGCGTTTTCCTGCCTCTTTAAGTCGTTAGTAAGACCTATACTCGAATACGCTGTCCCCGTCTGGAGCCCCTACCAAAAAAAGGATATCGAATCCTTGGAAAAAGTCCAAAGAAGGGCATCTCGGTTGGCATTAAAGCAAAAACGCGGAGAAATGAGCTATGAAGACCGCTGCCGCCTACTGAATTGGCAAACTTTGGAGAAACGAAGAGAGTTTTTATCTCTGATCCAGTGCTACAAGATAGTTCTGGAAATAGATAGTCTTCATTTTTCGGACTTTTTTGAACTTACTAAATGTAATCGAACTAGAGCCAATCACGATTATAAGCTCTACGTAAAAATAGCTATCGTAAATTGCTACAAATTTTCTTTTTTTGTACGGATCGTTAATATGTGGAATAATTTGCCTAAAGATATTGTACACGCAGGATCATTGACTTTATTTCGTAACAGACTAAAGATTTACATGAATATTGATTGAGATGATGGTAAACAGTTTTTAATTATCTGTATATAATGTTTTGATCTTTTTATTCGGGGAATCTTTTATATAGGGTTAACCTCTAGAATATCCCCTTTCGAGAGATACTTTTTTTTACAATTTTTATTTTCCTTTCTCTTGAATAAAGTATTGTACATTGTACATTGTACGCCTAGATGACCGTTGTGATGGGGCCATCTAGGCGCGATTCGGATTCTCAATATTTATGGTCAGTGACCTTAGTTTATCTCGAAGACACCTTTTCATACTGAAAAGAATATTAAGTGACAGCATTAAATTGTTTAAGTTTTGTTTGATATGATCTTGCGTTATATTTCATCAGAACTGCCGCGAAAGCTTTGGAAAGCCTTTATAATAAGTGGATAAAATTTACCACCAAGAAGATTGACTTAAGCTGGTTCCTGGCTGTTTTTATGTCAACGCCTGCAAGAAACGAAGACACAAACTCAAGCGATGGACAAATTCTAGGTAAATTTTTTGAAAGTTATTATTCCGTGCACAGTGAGGATATTTAGAAACTTTTCACAGCAAGTCTAGAGCAAAATAAAACAACAGCAAGAACATCAACAACAGCAAAAACAGCAAGAACAATTTAGTCATGAAATTGTTTAGGTGGGGGAGGGGGGGACTTTAAGTCCCTATGTTCATATTTGAAAATGTGAACGTAGGTACGCTATTTTAAAAGTGTTTGAGAGCTCTGCCCTGTTTACAGGACAAAATAAGAGACCTACACTCCAATTATGTTTTTGACAACAGCCTTGAGCTTCACCATTAAGGCACTGTAGAGTACACTATTTCTCTTTTTAAAGTAAAGATCCTGAGGAGAAAGACTAACATTCTTTACAGACCTTTAACAGCTTCGAGCTCGAAAAATCTTTCGTCACGGCAGAGAGGCTAAACAACTTACACAGTCTTGTGTTCACTTCCAATCGAGTGCAGTATACGGGAATTCTTAATTCGGTCCGCTTAAGTATTATATGAAAAACGAGTCCGAGTGTTTTATCAGAGGTTTCGAACACTGAGAAACGGATGAAAGCACGAGACTGCAGGCTGAGTGCTTTTATTGTTTCGAGGTGTTTGGAACCTCGATGAAACACGAAGCAATCGCTTTTTACAGGACTTCCCGATGTACAATTATAAATACAATGCAACAAAGCGGCTGAATTGTGTACCTTAATAAATGGGAAAAGCCAGTGCATTCTTTCGCGTTTTTCTCGAGTTTCTGCCATTATACTTTTTCGATTAGACAATATCTTCTTGAATCATCTTTCTCTTGTGGAAAAGGGCACTCATAGATATGTGGGATGCAGTAGATTTTCTGTTTTGCATGTGAGACAAATATTCTGCAACACTACTTTCTAGCATCTTTATACAACCTCTAGTTCTTTTCAATGCTATAAAAAATTGTGCCATATTAATAGCCACCTGCAGTTTTGTAGAAAGGCTGGTGTATTGTTTAAATTTTTTTCCTCATGGCATGACGTATGTCAATCATACTGTGAGGTTTTCGTTTGGAAGGAAAATTTTGTTAGACAATTAATTTAAACATTAAAACTTGGCTTAAACATGTCATCCCCTTGCCTCCCCTGCCACAATGGGCGACAAAATGGTTGACCCGTGGACCCTATTCCTTCAATTTAATCTCTTTTGCGCTCCTAAGTTGAACTTTTTGCCCCCTCCCCTAAAAAAAAAAAAAACAACAACAACAAAAAAAACAAAACACAATGTTGTATCTGTTTCCGTGAACTTTTAGGGTCTCTTAGCCAACATTGAATGAGGGAGGGGTCTGTTAATGATTTGGAGTATGATAGGCTTGTCAGCTCAATTGGTAGAGCGCTGCACTAGTATCGCAGAGGTCAGTGGTTCGAATCCCGTACAGGCCTGAATTTTTTTCAGGTCTGATTTTCACTATTGCTTAAATAGTGCTTTACTGCGAAGGATCGTGCACATACGTAGAAAGAGGACTGTTATTCCTCACTTTAATAGCACTCTTCAATCATGATGTGTCGACAGATTTATGCTGGTTTTTAGGTTTTCCTCTGTCCCCAACATCATGCTATTGTGTTGTGTCCAAATATCTGAGGGGTGGTACAAAGGCGGAGATTTTTTTCCTTATTTCATGGAGTTATCGACATAATTCAAAATGGCGTCTGTCGTCGGCTCGTATTTTAGAATGATCTGGTTAGTTTTCCCTTCTTTTCGCTCCATCCTTGATCAAAATGCACCCGTGTAGACCTTACAACCGAATAGGAAAGGTGCGTTGAAATACTCAATTGGAAAGAAAAGGGCTTCAAAGTCGTAAAACAACAATGACAACAGTCCCGACGATCCATATGAATTTATGCTGGACCGTACGCTAAATCATCAAGGTGGTTTTTCCTCATTTTTGCTCCATTTTTGATCAAAAGACGCTCTGATAGACCACGCAAACGAAGAAGAAACGTGCAGAAGAATATTCAAATGGACGGAAACGGGCTTCAAAGTCTTGAAATCAACGATGACAACAGTCCGGCGACGGCAGATATGGAAATATTACGGAAATATTTTGTCGCGCCGCGTGAGCGATTTTATTTCTTCTCTTCAAGTTAATTTTCGCGTATCTATTTGGCTGCCATATGGCCACATGTCAGACAAATTTTGTAGCTGATTTACCCTGTTTTGAGGTTTTAAAGTAAGAATTTCATTTGATTCGAATTTTAAGCGATTGTATTCATTCTTTGAGCTGAATTTTTTTTTTTTGGCTACATTTTACACCTTTTTACCATGTTGTGAGGTTTTAAAGATTACTTTTGATTTGACCTTTCCTTTTGTCATGCGATCACCTTGTAAGCAATTTCGGTCCGAGGGCGTGAATCCTATTAGTCGCAGTTTTACTGGCCAGGGTACAGGTTGCATTGGGTATCATTTTCCGACATATCTGTCACTGTTTGGCCGTCAATTTATCTGGATAACTGTCGTCTTGAAACCTCATCTTGTGTGTGTTGATTTACTTTCAAATTACTTTTAGCTCGAATTTTTAGTGCTCTGGCTAAAACTTTCAAAGTTTATGATCAACTGGTTATCTAAGGAACGTCACGCGTTATTGGAAGAAGATGGCAAAGGTATAAAGTTCTCACCACTATTTAATAATTAAGACATGAGGTAGCTCCGAGAGGCATTTGATAAGCACTTCTGCTGGCTTGAGTTCATTTACATTTTGCTACGTGTCAGCAGTTGACGCATGATGGTGGAAAAGATCGGAACGAGCCGTTTTCGCCCGCTAAAAGCTGCAGTTGAGGAGCAGTGTCTGGCTGAGGAAGCCGTTGCGAAATCCAAAAAGTATAAGAACTAAAGGGAATGTTTCGGGAATGGCAGATAGATAGATAAATAGATAAATAGATAGATAGATAGATAACTTTATTTATACACAGTAAAATCCTTCAGCAAAATCTAAGAGTAAAAAAAAAACTAGTTCTGCATAGTTAAACTAACTATTGATTATTACGATATTATAGAAATGAAAAAAAGGCTGATAGTTTGAAAGAAACTGTTTGGGGCTGCGTCGGTGGGAGTAACGAAATAATTTGGATATATCAACAAAGTTGAAATGGTAAATTGGCCACCGTAACGATTACAAAAGCTGACGTTTCGAGCGTTAGCCCTTCGTCGGAGCGACGAAGGGCTAACGCTCGAAAACGTCAGCTTTTGTAAAACGTCAGCTTTTGAAAACGTCAGCTTTTGCGTCAAATTATAGAAATGAAAGCCTATTATACCATTAACGCTGCTTTTCTAGGATGCCGTTACTCGTTCAAAAGCTCTTATGTTCGTACCGTAGTACTGTGTTTATTTATCTCAAACGAACGTCGAAAACTCGAGCTCATACATTGGCCGCACGGCCTCGGTCAATGAAAGTGAAAGTAAGTAAGTAAGGTTTTCTGAAAATGACAAACAAAGAAGGCATCAAACTCCAAATACCTGCCTGAACGACAAAAAGAAACAAATATTAACTCACCGAAACGTTCGCTTAAGCCAACGTAAGACACAATAACGCCCTTTTTAAAACTCTCTTCAATGGATAAAAAACTAAACAAACGTCCGCAAACCCGAGCACATGGCGATTCCAGCCAAAAGTCATGTGACCGGCAAAACCTCGGACTCCCAAGGGAGTCGGGAGGGACTTCTTAAGTGAAATGTCGTTTCTCGTTCAAAAGCTCTTACGTGAAATTTCACTTTCTCTGGGAAAGACTGTTCATTTGAAAACATAGTACCCCTGTAGGTAAAAATTCTCTTAAAATTGTAGGTGTTGGGTTGTGGAACGTCGGTACATTGTAATATCATTTCGGGAGATCAATCGAGATTGTAGATATTCAATCCGTATAAAGTTTTGTGCTTCACAATAGAAAGGGCTACTAGGCTTAGATGACTAAGTTTTAGCCAGCCGAGAGCCTGGAACAGCTTGTCAATATAGTCTTCGTTGCTTGCATACAACGAAATACGGGCTGCGCGGTTTTGTTTCTGTAGTTTTTTTTACATAGGCCAAAACTACAGTTGCCCCAAACAGCGCTGAAATAATCAAAATTTGGCTGGACTATGCTGTTATACAAATCAGTTCGAACATATAAAGGAACAAAATGCCTTATTCGTATTATTGCATCTAAGGCAGAGGCAATCCTTTTTACAAACACTCTGTCTATCACAATTCCAGGTTAAGTTTTGAACAATATGTACCCCCAGCGATTTCGTGGAGAGGAAACTGCATCACTGGATGATCACTCATCGTGAAATATGGAATTTTAGAGATAGTTGATAGCCTCTTCCTCGATGTAATTAACATAAATTCGGTTTTTGTTAAGTTAGGGGTGAGATTTTTTAGCAGCTATAACCATAGGTAGATCGTATTTAAATAGTAATTAAGATAATTATCATAAGCTTTAAGTTTGCAGTTAAACTAGTGTCGTCAGCAACATACATTCTAGGTTTTAGGAAAAGCAAGCAGTTTGGCAGGTCGTTATTTCAGGATGAAAACAGCAAAGGTCACAGAATATTGCCCTGAGGGACACCACATTTCACTTATTTGGAACTGGACAGTGAACTGTTTATTTGGCAAATTTGGGTACGATTGCTTAAATACGAAGTAAACGAGTTGTGACAGGATCCGCGTAAAAAATAGTAATGTAATTCGCCAATAAATATCTCGCGATCAATGTTCAGGAGAATTTAAAGAACGAAAGCAGATTGGTAAAGAAATAGCGAAATAGTTCACAAGGCGACTTCGTGACAAAAAGAACGGTCAAATCAAATGAAATCTGTAAAACCTCAAAATATGGTCACATATAATATAGCCAAGACGAAAAGCGAAATCAACAATATAAGAATTAAATCGCTCAGAAAGCTCAAATCAAATGAAATCTTTCCCGTTTTAAAACTCAAAACATGGTAAACCAGTTGCCAAGTTTGTGCAACATAAAGCCATATGGCAGCCAAATAGATACGCGAAAATCAACTTGAAGACAAGAAATGATAACATATCTTCGCATCTATCGCTGAGACTTATGTCGTTTCTAATACTTTAAAGCCCATTTCTTTCCAGTTGAGTATTCTTCTGTACGTTTTCCCTTCTTTTGAGTCTACAAAGGCGTTTTTTGTTCAAGAATGATGCAGAAAGAAGAAAAACCGCTTTGATGAGGTTAGAGTATGATCCGACAAGGGGACTGTTGTCATGGTCGATTTCGTTCGCCCTCTTCGTTCGTAAGGTCTACCCAGCTGCATTTCGATCAAGGGTGGAGCGTAAAAAACAAAACAAAACAAAAGAAACATCCAGATTATTCTAGCCCACGGCCTACGACACTAGCGACTAAATACAGGAATGGCTCCGACCTTGTAACTGATAGTGCCTACGCCGGAAGACATTTTGGTAATTCCATTTACTCAAGCAAACAATTTGGCCTTTGTATCACCCCCCAGATATTTGAAGAAGACATTAGCATGGTATTGAGGACTGAGGAAAGCGAACAATTTTTATCCCCATTATTCTTCTTCTTCGTTAGGAACACCTGAGACTACCAAAGCAACTCCTACAGAGTTGGTAAGCACAGGATTTACTTCCGGAGAGAGACCTCCAGTGTAAGTTGAGATAAAAGAAAAAAAAAGAAAAGGAAGTAAACAACAACCAATCATAACCTTTCAATTTGACAATGCTCGTAAATGACCCGTTGTGGGTCTAGCTTTCTCTTTTACATGAAAAATATTATGAGGGACGAACATAGGAAATTGGCGGCGAAGTTATCACGCGCATACTTGAGCAGTCCCTATGGCTGTAACAGATGACCAAGCAACTTTTTTGTCCATCACCTTTCACTTAATTCTTAATTCTTGCTGTTTTTTCTTTTTGTTTATTAAAAAGTCTTTGGTGAAAACGGAGTTATATTTCCTTAGCTACTATGATTTTCTCATAGACACATGCGCCTTTAACTGATTTTTTTGCAGACCTCATCCTCGTTCAATCGTTCAACTAGTCTCGCCAGATGCTGGCCTTACTGTGGTATTCCATGTTCTTCTAGCATCAAATTTTAAAATGACTGACGAGAGACTCTTTATACGAGCAAACGGGGCTGCTTTGGGCGACTTTCAGGAGAACTGTGTCGATATGGTTCAAGTTGAGTAAGTAATATGTTTCGAAAGGTATTTTCATCTCAAAATGTCATCTTGTGAGTGCCATTGTTATTTTGTTGGGCGTACCTGAGTACTGTTGTGGTGAGCCAAGTCTGATCATTGTCCCATGGGTTGGTTCGACAACATTCAGCTTTTCTCTTCAGGTTTTTAGCTCTTTGCCTCAGTAAGGTTTCGAACGGCTAATGTTATTCGCACGAAAGCCTTCAATTATTATTATTTTTTTGCCACACTGGCTGGCTGTGAATAGTTTTAGAGAAAAATTTGAGCAAACAGGTTGCAACTTAAGCGCTAACTCTTCTTGTGAGTCTAAAACAAGGAGATTTCACAAATAAACAACAAACGTACATGTCTGATAACCCATCAATGCTCCAGAAGAGAATCGTGTATTGCGTTCATGATGTGGTTCCCATGAGAGAAAGATCATCAGCCTTCCAGACTATTGTGAGGGGTATCCCTCCTAAAAGTCAACGCACACCTACCGGGAGGGAACCTTAACACCGATTATCCGCTGTACAGCAGAGGGTTTTGGGAATCAGGCACCCGAATATCAGAAACGAAGAGACGACTCATCAGTCAGGCTTTCAAAAGCAGCGACTGATTACTTCAATTGTTTGGGGCGAGGTCACGACTATGCAATGATTGCATTTCAAGATCGAATAAACCCTCGACGTGATAAAAACGTAAAGCTGTTGATTCAGGAATTACTAGACATAAAAAAAGATCTCGATAAAATTATGAAATGACCTCGACTCAGTGAATTGTTCTTTTCCTTTCTATGCAGAACCGATAGGAGCAAAGACAACGACAAGCTTACGCTTTTTCGTGGGAAATTCATTTTAGATCTTGATCGAGCTCGCAAAGACATTTTCTACAAATACTTGGTGGTCAAAAAGGGAGTACTTCATTGGGAAGAATTACCTGAAGCTCCTTCTTCGTTCCTCTCCGAGGGCATTTTTAACAGGGCTATACGGATCCCTGAAAATGGTATTAAAGCGGGTGGTAAGTAGACATTTAGCTCGTCCTTATTACTAAGTAGAAAAACAAACTTTCATACTTTTACGAAGAAGTCAATCATGGTCCTTGAATTATGAAATCGCGGTGTGAATTTCTTTCGCTCGCTTATAGTCTCCGCTATTACTTAATAAACATTTGTCTCGGATCATTTTTTGTTGTTGTCTTTTTGGCTGTTTGGTCTTCTCATCCGTGTTTTCAAATTTTTGCTCAATTATATTCTCGTGTTGTTTATTTCGTATTCATTGCCGTAAAAAGTCCTATAAAATCGTCGTTGGGGGTTAGAAGAATTCTAGAGAGTCCTGATGACCGACTCCATAACTCTAGAATTTTCACCACCTCTCGAGTGTTAAGATGAGGGGTTGTAAACACGGTAAAAGTCTCTTATTTGCTCATATAAGATACTCCTCTTCAATGATAAGAGAAACGAATGGAAATGTTGTTTATTTATGTTTTGACTGACATAAATAAACCCGTTTTCAAAATCGCTCCAATTTATATCTATACATGAATATATATACTTGTTGAGTTATTTTTGATTAAAAAAAAGTTACTCAAGTTAGCGTATCGAGTGGTAGGTTGCTCGCTCCAATCAGGTCACCGCATTTGGGTATGTATGTTGCACCAATCAGATCGCCGCATTAGGGTTTGTATCTCGCACAAATCAGATCGCTGCTTTTGGCTATGTATCTCGCACTAATCAGATCGTCACAATAGGGCATGTATATCGCACCAATTAAATCACAGCATTGGGGCATGTTTGCACCAATGAGAGTGTCAGAGTAAGGTCCCTCGTGTTAATCATATCATGAAACTAGGGTATAGCTAAATGTTGCTATGCAATCAACCCAACATTGAAACAGACTAAGAACGACATCAGCAAAGAATTGTGAGCAGATTTATCTTGCGAAGTAATTTATTTCCTCCGTGTGGACCTAGTCGCTATGATCTGTGTCGAAGAATTCAGATATTGACGAATAAGAGTCACATTGATTAACCCAATTGTTAACTGCAATTATCTCTCGTTTTTACTCTCTGAGTTACTTTTTGTGAAGGATTATTACATAAAAATTTGTTTTGAGTCCGCGTTGCAACCTTTTTAAAAATAAATGTTGTCCCACAAAATTTTTTCGAAATCAGTTTTAGCGGAAAAACCAAAGTGATTTGAGAGCGAGGAAGAGGAAAGAATTAATGTTATTATCCCCAAAAAGTCGTGACCGAAGTCAGCGGCTAGAAATACCGTTAGTGACTTTACGATCTAGACATTTTATACGACGACAACGTGAGTAGACATCACTGCGCATGCGTAGCGACTAAGTTCATGGCGTCTTGATCCGTCGACACCACCAAAATTCATCTTGAAAAGGTGAGAACTACTTGCGACCCAAAATTTGCTCTAATTAAGAATTCTTAAGTATAAAATCAATGTAACAATCGACATTCCCTAGGTAAATTAAAACTTTTAGAACTACAAAACCTAAGGTGGTGTTGTTGTTGTTCGTTTACCAACGAGTGTTTGGTAAGAGAAATGTTTCTTCTAGAACCCTGGCAACACAAGCATGGGTCCAGGCAAAGAGGTCAATATTAAGATCCTATGAGTGAGTCTCGCAACTCTCTACAGCATACAAAATTCTGCGTAAATCAAAATCAGTTCGAGACCACTACAACCACCTTGATAAAGAACACAAAAAGAAAATTGGAGGAAAAAAGTAATGGAATAAGTCTTGAGGAAAATGATTTTCATAGCTCCATGGAAGATATCATAGAAAGATTTCGGAGCAATGAGGAGGAAGATAAACTTCTAGCCGACGAAAAGAAGGTAAAAGTGTGATGCAGAAACTGCTTAAGCAGAAGAAATGAGATCAAAGGCTTGAAACGGCTGGCGAGATTTATAAAACAGGCAAAGAAAGAAAGTGGGATGCAAGGGAAGTAGACAAATAAAGAAAAAGCAAGTGCAAGCGTAACTGTGACATTCTCAAAGAAAAGGCTGAGTTGAATGCTAAGCTAAAAAGCGAAGAATTAGAAGGTAGAAATACTGAGCTAGAAATAAAGAAAATGTATCAAGATATGTTATCAGGTAGCCTCAAACAGCAACAAAAGTAACATGATCAGGTGATGCTACAAATGCAAGCAAAAACTGCAGCACTATTTGCAACTATCCAAAGTTAAGCAAGGCAAGAAGAATAAGAATGACTGTCAGATACCGTCGGATCCAGGACTGATGTAGTTGTTAGTTGTTCTTTCTAAAGTTTGAGAAATTATGAACACTACAGTAAGATCCAGTTATTGTTTGTTGTTTTAATATACAGGTTGTATGCAACAGTTTTTGCCGCTCAGAATTACATGTTTGATCGATATTCAACTAAAAGACATTACAAACAGCTGTTCTAACCCGGGATTGTGGTATGATATCTTAGTTACACTCATCAGTAAATTCTTGGTGGTAAACATATGAATATAGAACGATTACAGTATTTTTCATGAAACTGTGAAAGAAAATTACCCAATGGTTAAACGCAGAGTCCAGAAAATTCAGGTTTTTTTTTTCGGGGGTAATGGCACAGTTCAGTTTTCAGTTCAGTCAAACTTTACTGAAAGTAATCTGCAGAGAGGGTGGCTATACATCAAAATATTGGGACGTTGATGATCCATATAAACAACAACGAGCATTATGCAACAAACAATGTACAGAAAATGTACATTTTGCAATTGCACTGAGCTGTTTCTTAAAAGTTTTTTCTAAAGTCAAGGAATTTGTAATAGTTTATTGTCTCACCAAAAATCCATTCCTCAGATATCCTGACACTACTTATAGCTTTGTTCCACTGTTTTTGATCTAGAGGTATTTTGGCATTTTGAACTGAAGGAGCTAGCAACTGTGAGCGAAGGGGGTAAGCAGGGTGTCAATAAATACGCATTTCATGGTAACTGTAGAAATTCTAGCGCGCTCATTGATTGATTGATCAATTACGAATTATGAGGAGATCACCATTAATATCACAGACTGATTTGGCCCAGTGTCTTAGGAGATCCAGAGATTAGTGTCGTCAACATAGCTTTCAGATAAACAATGTCGGAACGCAGATGAAAGATCGTTCACGTAGATAATAAATATGATAGGCTCTAGGATACGGCCTTGTGGGATGCCACCTTCTACGGGTAGTGGCTCTGCCAGTTCCTCATTTATACGGACGACTTGATGTCTTTCACACAAGTAACTCTTAAACTAAGTGATGCCACAGGGTGAAATGCTAATATCCTGCAATTTATTCAGTAGAATTGCATGGTTCCTGCAGTGAAGGGCCTCCTCTTATTCAATAATACAAACGCAGTTACTTTAATTTTTTTTATGCCGCTCAGGATGGCTTCAGTAGTGCGTACTAACTGTTGAGTGGAGTTTACTGTCTCTACGCTGCGTTGTAGATAATCTGTAATTCGAAACTAGATAAGGCATGAGCTGACTGAGAGCAATTCTCTCACATATCTTTGTGCACACATGTATCAGGAATGACTTGTACTATACTGCCTGGACTTTGAGCCATAAGAGGTAAAGGCCAGATTCAGTAATAAATGACAGATCGCCGAGTCTTTCAACCTTGAGCTCATTTTTCACATAGGCACACACGCCGCCTCCAACTTTGTTGGGGCGATCAAGACGAAAAATGGTATAACCAGAGATTTCGATCTCAATGTTAGAGATAGAACTGTCTAACCAAGTCTCGCTAATTGCAAAGATGTCAAACTCATTCACTATAATTACGTCTTGATGAGGGTGAAGTGGTCCCTTTTCTTGTTATAGCGAGCATTTAAATGAGCTATTGTGATGTCGTCTTCATGGCGCATTGGAGTTTTCCCTTTTAAATCACTCATTAGTGTTGGTCCTGGTCATTCTGAGATTTAGTTTAACATCACCGGACAACCGAACGCGGTTGATGGCAAAAGACGCGATGGTGTCTGAATAATTAAGGTTTGAGTTTGGAGAATCCTTTAAAAGTGAAATTCGCAGATCCGTGAATTATGGTCCTGTCTCCAAGAACAGTCAATATAGGCTTCTGTAGCTTCTGGAGTCGGAAATCGTGCTTTCAGCACTGTACAGCTGTACAATTTCAAAGTCACATGATGTTACCGATGGTAGAACGAACCCTCCGCCGCCGCCATCATGTTCTGCTTATAATGATAATGATAATGATAATGATAATGATAATGATAATTTTCATTCAAACCTTCTGCAGAGAATGCTGAATTACAGGTTGATGAATTATATTAACAAGAAATATGGGAAAAAAGGGGAAAAACTGTACAAAATGCATTAAGCTACATACAAGTAAAAACAGCATCTACAAATGCTAAAATGATATTAATGTTTATTATAGAAAAACGAGTATAATTAAGTTGGCAGGTACTTGACTGTCACAAAGTTCTTAAAACGATCGGTGAACTTTTTGGAGTGATACTGAGTACGATTTGTTCTTAAATTATAGCGGTCTGAAGATTTACGAATATCGGCATACATTACAGTATAAAGGGGGTTGTTATTATGAATACAACTTATAAATGATTCCCAGGCAGCACCACGACGTGCATCAAGGGTTTCAATACCGGCTAGCATCAGGGTATCTGAGTACGAATGACCTGGCCAAATAATGCCGAGAGAACGCCTCTGCACTGACTCTAGGGTCTTAGATAAGTGGGACGGTAAATTGGCAAATACAGCAGAGGCATACTCAAGTATGGAACGTATTAGGCAGCAATAGATGTAGACGATATCTCCCGCTGGTACAGAACTTCTCCTGAGCTGCCTTAAAGCAAACAACCGCATGTTAGCCTTCCTCAGCAGGTAATTAACATGCGTCCCCCAGGAAAGGTCATTGAACAATTTGACGCCCAGTAGCTTGAACGACGAGACCTCTTCTATAACAGCGCCCCCCGATACGACCGAGGGCGCCTTGTAACTATTATACTGAAGGAAGCTACCGGTCATGTACTTACATTTAGTAAGATTAAGGCGCAAGTTATTGGTGTTAGCAAAATTTTGGATGTCATTCACAAGGAAGTTAAGCACAGAGGGAGAATTTCTTGGCAGAATTTCCATGATAGTTAAGTCATCAACAAAATCCATCACCTCATTATTGACCATACAAAGCTGTGTTACTGGTCTTGCAAATATAGGAACCATGTATAAGTACCCTCAAAGATAGGCATAACGTACAGGCCATTGTAGCACTTGAAAGAATCAGGAAAAGACATAGCTTCTACTAAGTTGATTAAAAACGGAATTCCATTTTACATTTGTCATCTGAGGGCTCATTTGAGTTAAATTTTTTCGTAATTCCAATAGGGCAAGTCAGGATTTTTCGACGTGTTTATGTCGTATAGAATAAGGAATTCTTCATCATTTATCAGACCTTGGCTGTGAGCAAAGAGAAGACTGTTTCTATTGTCTCGCGATTTTGGCATTTTAACAGACGAAAACATTGTATTAACGTACAATCCGTCGACTGCCATCTCGAAAATTCGCACTATTTTCATTACGTAACATCAGGTCACATTATCGTGACACTTTTTTAAAGTCACTAACGACATGTGACGACTTCGCCGACAAACTCACGTTGGCGTCGCAGAAATGTCTGGATTGTTAAGTCGCAAAGGTAAGTAGATTTCGGTTTTCTTTGCACTCAGAATTTTTCAGTATTGTTACCAGCTACAATCCGAGGAAAATTTCCACAAACGATCTTGAGAATGGTGAAGGCTTTGCCATTCATCAACCTGACAGAGTGGTGCGAAAGGCGGGTGACGTGTCAGCAGCTGATTGGCGATATCAGATACAAGTGAAAAAAAATTATCGCAATTTTACACCTGTGCTGTTACGGACTTTCTCAGTGCTGGAAATCCTTTTAAAACACCATAGTTTATATAATAAACAATCTTACGAAACGCTCAGGGCGGGGAATTTTCCAACTGGCCTATTCTATCAATCGGGTATCAATCGTTGACGGTTGACGATAAAAAATAAGCCCTTTCGACGGTTGACGGTTAGGTCATTTGATGGTTAATGTTTTGGAATGTCGTTTATAAAACGAACTAAACGCGCGCATTTTGATGTAATTTTTCTTAAAGATGCGTTTGTAAAGAACTGTTAATTTATAACATCTTTTATTAATAAATGACTAACTCAGATACAATGTATATATGATGTTCATATATTTTGAACTGCGGTATTAAATACGTAGGATGCACGATCCTTCGCAGTAGATAGCGCTATTTATGCAATAGCGAAAATCAGACCTGAAAAAAATCAGGCCTGTACGGGATTCGAACCACTGACCTCTGCGATACTAGTGCAGCGCTCTACCAATTGAGCTAACAAGCCAACTGGGAACAGGCCGTTAAGTTGATTCGTGATAAACCCGAGTGCAATCAATGTTGCGCAGTTTGCTTTGAGACATTTACAGTTTGTAGTACATAGTTGGTGTGCTTTTTCGCGAACATTTCGTGATAAAAGAATGACTTGTTGAGGATTTTATCATAGTTCTAGAGTGCGAAGAACAGTTTAAGAAAAGTTCTCCACGCATTTTGTCGCATGAAATTATTTTGTCGTCTTCGCTGTGCTCCCTTCACATGGTCATCCGGTTCCTAATCATCGAAGCGGGGAAAACGTTGCAGTTCTTCTTTCTTATGTTTTTTTTCTTCGGGCTCAAGTGGAAAGAGAACTAAGCCCCAAATCGAAATTTAGAAAATTTTGTCACCATTGCGTAAATGTGTTTACCTAACTTTATTTTGCAAGTGATGCGAAAGCTTTCAAATTGTGTAATGAATCACAAAAAGCGTGACGTCACAACCGTTTTTTATATACTCCCATCTGAACAAACCAATCGTCAAACGAGAGTGCGTGTACTATATTGAATCTTTATCTTCAATCTTGAATGAATTTGGTTGTTTTCGTTTCTCACAGCAACGTGGAATCAATTCGATGGAGTAACGTACGTTTACGGAAAAATGAGTATGGTCTCTAAAGTAGTGGATTACTTTTCCGGCAAGGATAAGACGCCTGAGTTTAGAAAGAAGGCACTGCTGTGTTTCCTACCAAAATGGAAGGGTTTTCGTTTGGACGGCACCCCTGTGAAAATGGATGCTACAGAAGCGGTGAAGAGTCTTTTTCATGTCGTGGGATGCCTTTCAAATGTGTGGGCAGAGGAATCTGGTAACCGTCGGAAGGGAAATCTTACCGATTTTAATGTGCCAATGGTAATTTGCTGGCTACATAGTATGGCCTTTATTAGTACAAGAATCACCTTTAAAGTGCGTTATCATATTGAGTTGTTTCGTTAGGTTTTTATACAATACACGAAAGGAGTGGGTTCTAAATCACAGAGATAAATGGCCGGTTATTGAAACGAAGTTTGGCCGTTGTTTAACAAAACTGCGTTCTAAACTATATTCAATTTAACCGGACCTTTTACCTAAAGATTAATTTTTATGAAAAGTGTTAAGGGGGCCGAAAGCTAACTGTGAAAAGATATTTATTTAATTAAATCAACCCTCTTATAGGGAATACCTGAGGCCTGTAACTTGCGTAAAACCGTGGTTTGGGTAAGACCTTGTTTGAATAACTGGCCCAAGTGGTTTATTTTACTTGATATGCAATGAGAGGTCAAGATTGTTCCAAAGTAAGTTGGTTCTGACGTTATCAAAACGCAAAGTTGTCAAATGGATGAGAGGACTGAAATGGAAGTCTGAGTGAAGCAGCACGAGGCAAACTCTCCTTGTGAACCACAAATGAAGTATATTTGCGTGGTGGCCGTTTGTTGGAAAAACTAGCTTGCAATCACAAAGTACAAACAGGGATTCAAATTTTTTCACATTGTCCTGTCGATAGTAGAGTAGGTGGCCGTGACAACGAAAATGGGCTGTACAACAGACCGCTTTTTAACAGACCACTGTGTAACAGACCGCCGTATAACATACCGCGGTATGAGATCTTAGAAGCTGACGTACAGCGACTTGCATGTCTCAGCATATGGGACAATCCACCATGTTCATATCGGGTACTAAACTGCTAAATTTATTTGCAGGTCTTATTGGACCATTTGAAACCAAAGATGAAGGAGAACGTTTCCACGTTGGCAAAATGTCAAGTTGGAACAAGTGATCACGTGTCTGCAGTAGTTTCATCGCTAGCTATCCTTCTTGTAGTAAATAAGTATGCTATAGGCCTGAAAGGAGAGGAGTTGAACGCAATGCTTAGTTGCTTAGCCCTTCAAGCGAACGCAACTGACAAAACGTGTTCCTCCTATGAAGCATTGCTCAATGAGTTTGATACCGAGCTTAGACAGTAAGTTACACAATAAAGTAGCAAAGAATGGCTGGAAGTAAATTTTCGTCCAGCGAAAAGAAAAAAAAAATCTCTTATAACGACGCTTACGTTATGAATTTGCCATCATTATTAGTCATTCTCCAAAAAATCACAAATGACACTGTTGATCGGAGCTGGGGAACACGAGTCACATTTACTTGCCCGGATTTTTTGGAGTTTTCCCTAGTTCAGTGAGCATGAAGCATCCGTACGTTCCCTGTAAAACGTGGCGACTAGGAGTGATGTTAACCTGTATAGATCGCCTATGTGGCTAGCAAACTTGTTCGCACTATTTGGCTTTGGGTGTATTAGTCAGTAAGGAAAACGAGCGGGAGATGAGTAAAATTTCCAGTTTAGGCAAACGTATACCTCTTCCTAACTTCGTTTTATAGAGGTTTTCCGCTCACACCTACGGCCAAGTAGCGAAGGGCGTGAGCCATAAATCCGAGCAAAAAATAACTAGATTCCGTAACGTACGATATGAACCGTTAAAACGATGTTGGTAAGAGTTCTATTCGTAAACTAGAAATTTCACTCGTCTCGCGCTCGTTCATCGATGACTAATGCACCCAAAACCAAATCGTGTGAATGATTATGCTTTTTCTCTGCAATGTAGAAGACTTTTCATATCGCAGTCCGCGTACTTGCTTATGTCTAAACTTTTCTGTTTGTTGATGAAATCGTAAATAGCCTCCTTGCTCTCGCTAATGATTTTTTCAGAAGTGAATGATCCTCTTGTTCTTCGTCCATGTAATCAGTCACTTACCAAGCAATGTGTTGGTTTTCTCAGATCTGCTGTTAGCGCCATTGAAACGATATGTAATCAGTCAATGAAGCAAGTTCGGAATTCCACTCCTGAGTGGCTACTGGCTCTGCCGCTGCTACATTTCTTACGCGGAGACTCAAAGCCTTTTGAGGAACCTGATATTGGAGAACTTCCTGAGAACTCAGCTTGGTGGGGAGCTCAGAAACTAGCAATAACAGAGTTTCAACGGTTGGAGAAACAGTAAGAAATATGTAGCAATAGAGATGTTTTCTGGGAAATAGCTGGTATTGGTTAGATGTAAATCATGAATCGAAGCTGCGTGCGACCTAGACACCATAAAGCTGGATGTGATGAAGCGACGTCGATAGTTGATAGGGATTATCTTTGCTTGGAGTGGCCTTTTTTTGAACAGCTTGAGAAATTTTGAATCAATATGACTGAAAGTGTGAAACTTTTACTTTGCCAAAGCCTCAAAAAATTAAAAAAAATAAGACAGTTAAATGCACCAATAAGCTCGCAAAAAAGACAGAACAAAAAACACAAATAAGTAGAAAGACAAATGGGAAGGCGAAAACTAGAGAAATAGTGGCAAAATTCAATATTACAAACTTTGGAACGGTGGATGGCTACGTGCATGTCAGTGCTTGAGTCCTCTTTCATTAACGAGTAAACGTATACACATTTTCTCACACAGGGATTTTACAGATGTGTGGCCTCGTCTTGTTGGCGCCTTTCAAGTTGATCTTTTGTTGAAGAGAACCTTTCTCCGCGCACTCACTGTTTGGTCACTGCAAAATTTCGTACCAACCGGACTTTTTGAAATATCGGACGTCTGCTTTGCTTTGATCACGTTGTTTCCTCTTGGAATTTTGACCAATGAAAAGGTTGCTGCAAAACTTTTATATCGAGTACTGATTCTTGTCTAAGAGATGTAAATGCATCTTTTTTTTAGATTAGATCAAATACAATTCCTCTCGATTATTTGGAAATGCAAAATATTAAAACTTTCTACCCTTCAGTTTTCATTGCAATAAAGGCATGCAAAAATTTTAGCATGCTCATCCGTTGAGAACAAATCAGTTTATTCCAGACAGCTCAGAAAGTGGAATTTGAGTGCGGAAAGTTGAAATTAAATTGATAGACAGGTCGCGAAAGCAAAACAAAACAAAATGGCGGACAGGTTAGGAGAAAGTAACAACCTTTTAATCCAGAACAAAAGCACCCAACAAAGCACAAACAGCTGGTTTAAAGTCGAGAAGTCTCGGGTTCCAAAAACGACTCTGACAAAGTGTGGAGGCGTAGGAGTCGGAGGCCCTGAACAAAATTCTCTCGTAGTTTTCGTGCGAAAGAAGGGGATTAAATTACGAGCGTGATAGCCTTCGTGTGGTTATTGCGTATTCTAACTGGGAGAGAGTGCATACACTCAAATATTCCTGACAGAGAGTTTAAAAGCTCGAAGCAAATTCTAGCGGGAAAACCCTGACGACTCCCGCAACATCTCGAAGGCAAGTGGCCCATCAGTGAACCATAAACACAACTAAGAGGAAAACAGAATCAAACTTTTGCATGTACATTATTAACAAGTGATCACATGAATTTTCCACGTGACATTTGCGATATATTAGCACTTGTAAACTAATCAAAGACAACAAATTGCACTCGCCCGAACGGGCTCGTGCAATTTGGTCAACCTTTGAAAAATTTACTTTTGCTGATTTATCCCAAATTGCACCTGGCTATTGTTAGCTATCTATCATCTCATATCCAACGCGCGCTGGTGGAATAATTGTGAAATATATATATATCTTATTAGAAGTTTTGATGTGTAGTATCGCTGAGTATTTTTACGAGTTGTGCAGTATTTTGACTCGCCCTACGGGCGAGTCAAAATACTGCACAACTCGAGTTTACAACTCAGCGATACTACACATCAAAACTTCTAATAAGAGATTTATTATCCAACACGACAAATTGTTATTTCAGTGCAGGCGAATTTCGCGGATATTTCTGGAGTACAAATATCGCGTGATATTTGTTATCGTCTTGCGCGTTATTTGTACTCTACGAGGCACAGTTGGATAATAAATATATATATTAATTATATTAGTCGCCGAAAAGAATTTAAATCAGATTAATCGCTATTATAGTTTGGAAGAGAGTTGAAAGATTTTGCTTCCAGTGAGAGGATCTTGCATTTTTCAGCTCGGCATATACTCGAAGCCTGACACTAAAATTCATCAATTTTTTTTTCAGGATGTAACATTTTGTTTCGCATTCAGACAAGTGTTAAGTTATTTTTTTTATGTGTTGGTTAGAAAATCTGGATCGAGCAGTGCATTGTATCCATGATCAACATTCAAGAAAGTGGAAAAGAAATAATCAGGTAGGTTTGAGATATGTAATAACATAGCAAGTTTTTATATTAATTTCGTACACTCTTGAACAAAGCTTGCAAACTCAGGCACCTAAATTCAATTGCGCGGGCATGCTTCGTAATCTTTAATTATAATTACACAGGACCCAGTGGTTCGAAGGCAGATTATCGCTACCCTGAGGTTAAATTTTAATTAAGGTTTCTATATTTCTCTGTGCAAAAGCCGTTTGGGATAACTTCCCTGTTTCTCTTAAAGCTTAGAGCATTCAATCACCAAATTGCAGACATATAAGATTAACTGAATTTTATTTTCAAGCTTTCAGATCTGAAATCGAATTTCACACTTACCCTGGGTTATCTCAACGCAGAGGTGATTATAGAGATCCGCTCGCTGTAATCACCTCGTGCGAGTTGATTACAGCAGGAGTGTCGCACGGGGCGAATTCCTAAAATAAAATTTGTTGAAGGCTTTTGGTTTGGAGGAAACGAAGAGGACGCTTTGAACATAAAAAAAAACGACAAAGATTACATCTTCTAACATTAACAAATTTTCGATTTAAAATACACCTTAACTAACTGATTGCTCCGTTTTAAGCCTTTATATCTTTACTGTGTGGTAAAAGTGAAAGAACTTAGAAGTTCTCGACGAGACTTGCCTAAACTGCTCGCCAATAAGGAGAAATTGCCAAGGTTTTGCGTCAAGAACATTACAGAGACAAACGAACTGATTCAGAGTTTTCACGGAAAATCGTATTTACATGAGAACGAAAACCACTTGCACAGTTAATGTGCACTCAAGTTTATTAATTCGGTTTGCTGTCCGCGATTTCAGCTCTCATTCCACAGTCTTTGCCAAGTTTAAGTGTTTTTAAGTGCTTTCCGTGAATTTTAACGAGGACTCTATGAAAGCTTTAATTTAAGGCGAAGGAAAATGGTGTACCGCGAGTAAACAAAACAGCTGAACGGCACACGGCTCAATGTTCTAATTTGGCGTTTTTGTCGTGGCGCGGGTCTAATTATGTTATTAAAGAATTTAAAGTTGAGTCCTCCTAATCGGAATAAAATCCACCAGTAAGAATCACACAACTGACCTTTGTGTCGCTGAAAAAGCTGCGGAAAATAGTAAAACTGCATCCGAGGCTTGTAAACTTTAAAAACTATCCGTACGGAATGTCAGATCGCAATCGCAGTGGTCGGTCAATTTTGACCACAAAAATTGTCGGTATACCATCTTGCTTAAAGCTATTTCTCGTCAGTTTACTTTACAATTTCTTCTTGGGTTCTCGGGGCCATTGTGTCCATTCTGAAATCTTTTGCTTTTCTGGCCGGCAGCTCATTCAGGTTCGGGCTCTCTGTTTGGCTTACATGTATCACATTTTTTGACGGTTTTAATGTATATTAGCGACTTGGTCGACATTTTTCCCTTGGAGTAGCGGTTTTAACACCCGAGAAAGAAACAAATAAAAAAAAAGCAAGGGACGTTTCGACAACAGCCATTTCCAGCTTGATTCGAGCCGTTACTGCAGCCAAGAAACTAGGCAAATAGACTGTACATTTCTCTTTTTGTCAACCTTAACACTAAATTCAGGAGAGCGCTCGCAAAATAGAACAAAGTGCTCTGTGGGCAAACTTGACAAATGACTTAAATTATTTTTTGGATTATGTTTAATGTTATTTGTGATTGGTTGTCTCATTTAGAGTACGAGCAATAGTTCAGTTTTCGCTTTGACTCTGTTGGCTAAAGAGATATGATAAATTATTTCTGTAGTCAATAACTATTCCACGTAATGACCTGCCAGTCCACATGAGGGAGGGGGGGGGGTATTCTGTCGGTACCTACTCAAATCTTGAATCAACCAATACCAAGACAATTGTTAAGGTATACTGATTTACAATAAGTCGACGAATCAGCCATTTGAAACTCAACGGTATTTATTTCGCACTAAGAACGTGTTTTACATGAATTTTTTTTTATGTGAACACCGACAAAAGTGACAGAAAAACTATCAGCGAGCTGAAACAATGCAAGAATAAACTACAACAGAAGTGTAAAAAATGCTAAACGTGCATAAGTTTATAATTGTCGTGAGAAAATCTTGATCCATTGTCATTGACGCCAGGAGGCCTCGTCTTCTCATTGGTTTGCGGTTTCAGGAGGCGAGATAATCTCCAGGTGTGGCGCTGGTTGTTTACAAACCTTTAGGGGCCG